TGTAAGTCTGCATTGTTAGAGGTAAAAGGGGAGACGTTTGCTCAGGGCTTGTGATGTAAGCAAACAAGTCTTGTCTATTGTGATGGTTTTAATTCAAAGATCAAAAAAAGGAATATTAACATTATAATGATACTTGAGTGAAATAGTATTATTGTCTCCATGTCTCTTTGAAGGTTGTGGTAACCTGTATCTGAACTGTTTAATGGATAAATTACCCTGTGCTAATTGCCAGGATGTTTGGAAGGAGAGTTAGGCCTGTTGTTTTCTCAGGCCGAAAGGCTGCTGGAAATGTATAAGAACCCTGGGACACGAGCCTGCTTCATCTCAGATCTGCTTTGGGTTTCAAGAGGGGGAAACCTTAAGCCACAAGGATTGAGATCCCCAGTCACTGACTGGAGCCACCCTGAATATGGACATTGGACTATAACCTCTGGACTATTTCTAAAAGGACTTTTGGCAACTACAAGCTCACCTCTGCTATGCATCTGGACCTCGAGAACTGAATTCAAGTCTGTCTGTATATTGATCTTTGAACCAACTCTCTCTCTCTTTTCTTTTTGAATAAATTTTAGCTCAGTTAATAAGAATTGGCTATGTGTGTATTTTGGGTAAGATCTAAGTTATAATTGGACCTGGGTGTGTGGCTGATCCTTTGGGATTGGAAGAACCTTTTCTTTTATATGATGAGAGAAGATTTTCAGTAATATCATCATATCTGACAGTTGTGTCTGGACGGAGGCCTGAGGCTGGGCACTTTAAGGGAACTGTGTTGTTTGGACTCTGAGTAACCAGTGACGTTCTACAGAAGCTGTTTTGTGCTGGTTGGTAAATCTAAGTACTGGAATAACCACCAGCTTTTGGGGTTTGTCTGCCCTGTTCTGTTTGCAGTTCACCCTAATTGAGTGACCTCAGCGGGCTCCCACGGGCAGCACCGTCACACCAGGATCCCAGCACGCTGGGCAAATGCCTACTGTGACGGGGTAGGGAGCAGGGTGGATTGACCTGGGAATGTCGTCTAGTTTTACTGGGACTGTCTGCATTGGGGATGGGAGAGCAGGGGGTGACTTTATTTGAGGGACGATACCTGTGCCTGTAACCTGATCCAGGAACGGGGGTGGGGCCAGGTGACACCTTTGCCCGGGAAACTGGACAATGGGAGAGGAGGAGCCGGGGGGAGGGGAGTGAGTCAGCTGGAGGGGGTTTTTCAGTTTTGGGTTGGCTGGAAGGAGGCAGGGAACCCCAAGTCTGGGGTCTAAGCTCCTTGCCCCCAGAGGGACCTGGCTGGGGGGTCCTGGTTGTACCTACACATTCTGCTTGGGACTGTGTTCCTGTCATCTAATAAACCTTCTGTTTTACTGGCTGGCTGAGAGTCCCGGTGAATCGCAGGAAGTGGGGGGTGCAGGGCCCTGACTCCCCCACACTCCGTGACACCTACCCAGGGATGGCAGCAGGCACAGTGCCCCCTTTCACTAGGGCAGTGCATACTGCATGGCTCCCCTCCCCCAGCCTCCATGGGGTGGGGAGTGGCCTGCGCAGAGACAGACAGAGGGGGGCTGCCCCAGCCCCGTGGGAAGGATCAAGGTCATGGGGTGCTGAGGGTTTGGTTTCCGGGTCAGTCACTATTTAGGGCTTGTCTGTCGGGCAGCGCCAGGGCCCACTCAGTGTAGCCAGCACCAGTGCCATTGGCCTGTGAGTGGGGCGGTGTCACACCCACCCCCTCGGCATCAGGGTCCAGATAGGGCTGACCTTACCCTATTCTCAGCTCCTTGCAATGCTCAGTTCACCCATTACGCTGAACCAGTCACTGTGATTCCCCTTGCAACCCCCTGGCCCCCCATGTCCCTTGGGTCTGATGCTGATCACTGCTGAGTGACAGGGCCGCCCCAGGCCCCTCTCGTCCATGGGGCTTAGCAATGCACCAGTTCTGCTTCAGGCATGAATAGCCAGCTCCCTCGCCGGATGCTGTGCCCGGCTCGGCCACACACGCCCGCTCCATAGCTCACAACGTTGCTCCCTGCACAAACTCTCCCACCCTGGTTCTTCTCCAGCCTCCTTTGTGTCCCCCCCCCCCCACCACACACTGTGTTGCTAACAAAGCCAGAAAGGAGAGTGGCTTGGAAGAGTTTCCTGCTGTGTGGTCGCCAGCCCAGCCCTGGCTGTTCCCTCGTGCTGCGGAACCAGCAGAGGGTGCACGAGATCATCAGGTGTTGTTCAGCTGCCAGCCGGACATAACAACGGGCAATGTCCGGGGGGGTTAGTTTCCCCAGGCAGTGCAGATTATGCAGCGCAAACCTGGGGGTTTCTGCCCAGACTGTGCTCCAGACAGGACTCAGCTGCATTCCCGGCTGGTGGGTTGTTTCCCCCCGTGTGCATCCTGTGCCCAGTCCCTGCTGTGTGCATCAGGCAGTGTGGAGGTGCTGACTGGCCCCGTGCCCCTCCCTGGCGAAGGAGGAAATGACCCTGTGTGTAGTACGGAAGGGGTCTCTGGTCAGCCCTGTCTGAGCCGGCAGGCGGGACCCCGGTCCAGGGGTGCAGCACAGGAAGGAGCGTGCTCGGCCCTGCTGCTTGTGTTTCTCACTCTCCCGTGGCCCTGCGACAGGCACCGACCTGCCCCAGCCATGCCAAGGGCACCTCTGCCCCAGCACCAAGCCTGCAAGGGCCCCACCGCTTCACCCACCCTCCCGGCATTGGCACCCTGCCAATGCCCACCCCAGCAATGGGCAGCACCAAGACCCAGAGCTGGGGCCAGGAGCAACAGAAGGTGTCACCCTGGGGGAGGGGAGAGGAGGGAGTCTTTACTGTGGGGGAGGAAACCCAGACGTCTGCATGGCGTGGGCCACATCTCAACCCCCAGCCATGGCCTCATGGACCTCCCCTCTCCTCCTGTTTCCTGTGCCCAGCCCCCTCCCCTCCAGCCACATGGACCCCCCCTTCCATTCACCATGCCCAGCCCCCGTCCAGACCATGGACCCCCCATTCCCTGTTCCATCACCTGAGTTAGACACATTTGCAAGGGGGAGGCCCAGCCCTGTGGGACCCCCATGCCGGGACCCTCTGCCTCAGCAGGGAAGTGTCGTGAGGCCTCCCCTCCCTGACTAGCACTGGGGGGGGGCAGCCAGAAGTGGGGGGGGGCCCTCAAGGAGTGGATACCTGCGGGGAGGGGGGGGGCTCAGCCCCTCTTTACCCTGAGCCGCAGTTTTCAGGCACGTTGTTGTGCCCCCCCACCTGTCCAGACAAGACTCCTCTGAATCAGGCACACTCCCCCTGCCCCCCCAGCTACCCCCCCATTGGGTCCAGACGGCCCCAGAGCTCACACTGGGGACCTCGGGAAGCAGCCCCCAGAGCCACGAACAAGGTGCCCTGTGTTTGGCCTCGTCCCCAGCCCAGCCCCAGCAGGGGCGCGCAGGCAGCACCCCATGGGGAGGGGCAGGGGAGCTGCTAGGAAGAAGCCCAAATGTTCAGGGGGGAGGAGCCATCTGGGGCCAAGCTTGAGTCCAGCAAAGGGGCTGGGCACCCGCCTCCCCAAAATCCAGCCCTTGGGGGTCGCACTGGGCACCCCAAATAACTGACCACTTCTCAAAACATGCTCAGCTGCACAGAAGTGGGAGCTCCCCATCCCCTTCTGCACCCCCATCCCCTGCTCTGTGCCCCCCATCCCCTTCTGCACTCCCATCCCCTGCTCTGTGCCCCCCATCCCCTGCTCTGCAGCCCCATCCCCTTCTGCACCCCATCTCCTGCTCTGCACCCCCCATCCCCTAGTCTGCACCCCCCATCGTCTGCTCTGCGCCCCCCATCCCCTTGTACATCCCCCATCCTCTGCTCTGTGCCCCCATCCCCTTGTACATCCCCCATCCCCTGCTCTGTGTC